ATGGCCAGAAGTCATGAATAGACGTTTCTCCAAAGAAGACATACAAATGGCCAACAGCACATGAAAAAAATGCTCACCATCACTCAGCATCAGGGAGATACAAGGCTAGATACTACCTCACACCAGTCAGAATGGCTAAAATTAACCACTCAGGAAACGACAGATGTTGGCAAGGATTCAGAGAAAGGGGAACCCTCCTACACTGTTGGTGGGAATGCAAGCTGGTGCATCCACTCTGGAAAACAGTATGGAGGTTCCTCAAAAGGTTGAAAATAGAGCTACCCTACTGCAGTACTGCACTACTGGGTATTTACCCCAAAGATACAAATGTAGGGATCCGAAGGGGCACCTGCACCCCAATGGTTATAGCAGCAATGTCCACAATAGCCAAACTATGGAAAGAGCCTAGATGTCCATCAACAGATGAAAGGATAAAGAAGATGTGGTATATATATACAATGGCATACTACTCAGCCAGCAAAAAAAAAAAAGAAAGAAAGAAAGAAATCTTGCCATTTGCAACAACGTGGATGGAACTAGAGGGTGTTATGCTAAGCAAAATAAGTCAATCAGAGAAAGATAATTATCATGTGATCTCGCTGATATGTGAAATTTAAGAAACAAAATGGGATCATAGGGGAAGAGAGGAAAAAATGAAACAAGATGAAATCAGAGAGGGAGACAAACCATAAGAGACTCTTAATCTCAGGAAACAAACTGAGGGTTGCTGGAGGGGAGGGGTAGGGGGATAGGGTAACTGGGTGATGGACATTAAGGAGGGCACATGATGTAATGAGCACTGGGTATTATATAAGACTGATAAATCACTAACCTCTACCTCTGAAACCAATAATACATTATATGTTAATTGAATTTAAATAAAAATTATAAGTCACATACAGTATGATTTCATTTGTTTCAATCTCGAAATGACAGGATTATGGAAATGGAAAACAGATTAGTGGTTTCTAGGGTTTGGGGATGGTCTGGGGAGGGAGGTGGGTGCGACTCTAAAGGAGTTGAAGGAGAAAATAGAATGGAATAGTTCTATATCTTGATTTCAGTGGTGACTATAGGAATCTACACATATGATAAAATGTCTTAGAACTCCATACATTGTATCAGTGTTGATTTCCTGGCTATATTTGCATAAGATGTGACCCCTGGGAGGAAACTGGATGAAGAGCCCAGCAGACCTCTCTAAACTATCTTCCTGTAAATCTATAATTATTTCAAAATAAAAAACAACTTATTGTATATGGGAGAGGGGAGAAGGGCCAGCCCCCTTCCCTGCCTACTAAAGGAGACCCCCAGGTATCCTTCCTCAGAGGACATGTTCATTTCAGTGTTACTTATCCAGACAAGGAGCAGAGACAGCCCCTCAGAACTGCGGGGATTTAGAGGTTGAAGGTGCTTTGCAGGCATTAGCAACAACCACTGAAATGTGGGAGTCTTTAAAACTAGCATTCCCCAGGACAGTGTCTGCCTTTCTACACTTTGGATAAAGAGGGAATAATTTCTGCTGTTCTTCTTGAGATTTCTTTTGACCAAATATTAGGAACATGTAGCTTTCTAGTTGATTCTCTGCAAGGGCATCAGCACTAAGTGGGGGAAAGGACCAGGCAAAAGGAAGATCATTTGCAAATGAACTAAGGGCAGGCAGGACTTTCCATCATCCTCAGTCCCCCTCTAATGGGGGAAACTCCATCATCACCTTGTCCATGAATTTGGATGCTTATCCATGACATCTAAATTCCTTTTCCTGCTTGTTTCTTATCCAGGAGGAAAGATTTATGATGCACCTTTCAAGGCTACGGCTGGGCCTCATTCTATGAACACGCATGCTACTGATGCACGGTTTCCAGCATCCTTGCATATACACACATGAACACACACACAATGTCCAAAAAATATATTTGTGCATACACACACAAGATGTATATACAAAATATATATGTAAAAGTATGTCTGTCTAGGCCAGAGCTGTCCAATAGAAGTTTCCTAGTGATGGAAATGTTCTGCACATGCGCTGCCCATCACTCTCTGTGGGTGGCTGTTGAGCACTTGAACTGAAGCTAGTATGGCTGAGAAACTGAATTTATAAATTTCATCTCATTCAAATGTAAATAGCCACATGTAGCTCTTGGCTACCATATTGGACACCATGGGTTTAGGCATCAAACGTCTCTGGAATGATATATAACAAGCTGGTAACTATGGTGCCTCTGCAGAAGGAGCTTAAGGCCTCAGGTGCAGTGGAGTTTTACATTTCATTTATATCCTTTGAATAGTTAATCATGTACTTATTTTGTCTAAATCAATGAAAAGATGAGGTCAGTAAAGTCCACCACGTATGGAGGAGACCAAGGGCTCCTTTTGGCATCTACGTAAACAGCCTAATATGGGTGCCTCTGGCTTCACCCCAACCTCAAAGCTTCAGGCTCCAAGGGAGGTGAAGCTTCAACATTAATTTCCTCCACAGGGTGGCTCCTCTGGGAAGGGAACGACGTTGAACTACAGCTCCGATGTGGACATGGTCTTGTTCTTGAGCTGTTTCCCCAGCTTCCAAGACCAGGCAGAGCACCGCGGATTGATCATCAGCTTCATCGAGGAAAGACTGACTCAGTACAGCAGGAACCTGGCCTACAGCATCACCATGGTCCCGCGGAGAGAGACGAGCAGGGTCCCCCGCTCCCTGTCCTTCCAGGTCCAGCCCAGGAGGAACAGTGAAGCCATTGGAGTGGATGTGCTCCCGGCCTATGATGCTCTGAGTAAAGACAATGATGGGTTTGGGACCAGAGAAGCTAGTCAGGGGCCCTTCACCAACCTGGCCTTGGGGGAGGTTTAGGAAAGTGGAAACCAGGGGAGAAAGAGTAGAGTTTGCTTTTTTTCTCTGGGGGGCTGCAACTAGAGCTGTATCTTGAAGTTAAGTCCTTCCATAAACTCATGTGCTGCCATGTCCCATGTTGGGGAGATAGGGGACTTCTGGATTCCCACCCAGCCCAAGGAGGAGACTCTTCTCTGACCCTCTGGGAAACACCAGAGCAAGCAAGCACTTCAAGATCTTTGGGGTTAGCATTAGATTGGAGTCATTTTAAAAACAGGGCTCTTGGGGCGCCTGGGTGGCTCAGTCGGTTAAGCGACTGCCTTCGGCTCAGGTCATGATCCCGGGGTCCTGGGATTGAACCCACATCGGGCTCCCTGCTCGGCGGGGAGCCTGCTTCTCCCTCTCCCACTCCCCCTGCTTGTGTTCCCTCTCTCGCTGTGTCTTTCTCTGTCAGATAAATAAAAATCTTTAAAAAAAAAATAGTCTATTAAAAAAAAATTCAAGGATGAGGGGTGCCTAGGTGGCTCAATCAGTTAAGTGGCTGTCTTCAGCTCAGGTCATGATCTCAGGGGTTCTGGGATTGAGCCCCACATCAACATCATCCATCATCAGACTCCCTGCTCAGCAGGGAGTGGGGTGTCTGCTTCTCCCTCTCCCTCTGCCCCTCCGCCCTGCTTGTGGGCTCTTTCGCTCTCTCTCAAATAAATCTTTAAAAAAATTCAGGGATGAGAAAAAGATGTATCATGAAAACAAGAAAAAAATGAACATAAGAAAAAATAACTAAGGAATATTCAGATGCTCTGAGAGAAACAAGAGAGCATGAACCAAAGAATGAAAGGCAAGAAGGTGTGTGCCCTGAAAACCCAGTTTACACCCGTCATCAGGTGTACACAGGGGTGGTTCCAGGACTGACCGACTCAGTACCATCAGGACTGGCCTGCTGCCTTTGGTGTGGCTAAATCATACCAAACTAAAAATGTTCCCTGGCCATCTGTCCTACTGAGAAGGCTCTGTACCAGTCATCACTGTTCAATAGGGGGAAAGAACCCGGATGAGAAGGTTCTGCCCTCGGGAAAATGTTTCAAACACTCAATTTTACATTTGAGCAATTTTTTGGCAAGAGCTGGACTTCGGCACCAGAAAGACAGATGGGGAATCACCCCGGTACTTCATGTTACTTTAACACAGGCAACAAAGATGTAAATAATCATCAGAGAAACCCACTGACCTCAAGATCTTTCCAATTAACTTCAACAATCTTTCATTCAGCAAATAACCCAATAGGCACTCGAGACCAAGCTGTGAGCAAGGGAATATTGGTCTGCCTTCCATAGGAACTTCTCTCTCACATTCTGCCTTCTATGGAAGGCGCCTTTTGGACAGTAAGCTCAAGTTCAGGTCCAACTCCCTGTAGCAGACAGTATTGGACTGGGGGAGTGAGGCATGGAGTAGTAAGCTCATCACAAGAAGATCTGAAGGCTGGGAAATTTGGGCGAGTGGCAACAGAGATGAAAACATAGGAAGAGTAGTGAGAGATGAGGTAGGCTGAAATCAAAGACACCTTGATCCACAACCACATGAAGAAGCCTGTAGTTTAACCACAGACATGAGGTGGGAAACCACCAGAGGATTTCAAAAGGAGAATGACTTGTCTGTAATGAAATTTTTTCTTTTAAGATTTCATTTCCAAGTAATCTCTACATCCAACATGGGGCTCAAACTCAACCCTAAGATCAAGAGTCTCATGCTCTACCGACTGAGCCAGCCAGGTGCCCCCTGATGTACTTTTTCTGATCTAGAACTAATTTAAATCTTTCCCTAACCCTTTCAAAGTTGGCTTTTAATTTATAGAACCAAAATATTGATGAGAATGTGACTTAAGGTCTAAATAATTTTTAACTAGTAAGACTCCGTTGTGCGTAAATTAGACATTAGCAAAATTAAAAACTTTTGTGATTCAAAGGACATGATTTAAAAAGTGAAAAAGAGGGGCGCCTGGGTGGCTCAGTTGTTAATCTTCTGCTTTCCCCTCAGGTCATGATCCCAGGGTCCTGGGATCAAGCCCCGCATCGGGCTCCTTGCTCTGCGGGAAGCCTGCTTCTCCTTCTCCCACTCCCCCTGCTTGTGTTCCCTCTCTCACTGTCTCTCTCTGTCAAATAAAATCTTTTAAAAAAATGAAAAGTGAAAAAGCCAACCTACAATATAGAGAAAAAATTGAAAATCATGTATCTGATAAGAAACCTGTACCTAGAATATATAAAGAACTACTACCACTCAATTATAAAAAGACTTCAATTAAAAAAAAAATCACAATCCAAGCTTGTAAAGGATTATGATAAAAAAGTGACCTATAAATAAGAAAGTCGTTTCAAGTTCAGACCCAGAATGAAAAAACATGCAATGTACAAGAATGGGTAAGAGGATTGAAGACGAGAAAGGAAGTGGGAGGAGCTCCGTATAAAAAGCATCGTTGTAAAATAAACAAAACCCAATTTTTAAAAATTTTATTTT